TGAATTTCTTATTTTTTCGTCTAAGCACTCTCTATTGAGCTCCTCACCGGTAATCAGCTTTGGCTCTGAAATAATTCATCCCTCCTCTTGTGTTCGTAACATTGGTGTTCTTTTTGACTCTTCTCTGTCCTTGGCTAATCACATCAAAATGACCTGCAAATCCTCTTTTTATCATCTTCGAAACATTTCAAGAATCAGAAAATTCCTGTCTGTTAAATCTACGGAAATCCTTGTTCACTCGTTCATATCATCTAAACTTGACAATTGCAACTCTCTACTATATGGCCTCCCTAAATATCTGATTGATCGTCTACAAGCTGTCCAAAATGCCTGTGCTCGTCTTGTCATGCTTTCTAAAAAACATGACCACATTACACCTCTACTTATCAATCTTCACTGGCTTCCTGTCTCCGCACGTATCAAGTTTAAAATTCTCCTTCTGACTTTTAAAGCTCTTCATGGCCTGGCTCCTATTTATGTTCAAGATATGCTTAAAAACTATCGTCCTTCTCGTTGTCTTCGTTCGTCGTCTCAACTGTTACTGTCTTCCAAGTCTTACAATCTTAAAAGTTATGGTTATCGTTCTTTTAGTGTTGCTGGACCTTTTCTATGGAATTCACTGCCATCTTCAATCAGAGACATTTCTTCACTTGACAATTTTAAAACTGCTCTCAAAACCTTCCTTTTTAAACAAACTTATGATCTGTAACTCTATTTTAACTTTCTTAATATCTTAATTTTTACCTTTTTATTTGCGCTTAGAAAAAGTTTTATAAGCGCTTTATAAGCTTAGATTATTATTATTATTATTATCTGGCTTGGGTTTGTGCAGTGTAATTTCTAGTTTAGTGAGTTGAGTGTTTTGACTTCGTTACTCTTTATTAGTTTGGCACGTGTTTTTTTGCTTTTGCCGCGCACGCTTTTGACTTTTACGCGCGGATTTGGCAGGTTGTGTACGCGCTTTTTATGAGCGCGCATTTCTTAGGTTTCCGTTAGGTTTTCGTAGTTTCTTTGTTGTTTGTGTTAGTTGGTCGCTTAGTTGCTAGGATTTWTAGAGAGTGGCGCGTGCAAAACACTCAGTTTGCTGAAGAAGACCGAAGTGCCGAAACGTCCTAATAAACAGAGTTTTTATAGCTTCAAATTGGTGTTTTGTTCTATTTCATTCTACTTATATTATATATATATATTTAAAATTATAAGAATAAAATTATGGACAAAAATGGCCAAAAATGTCTGGCCCTAAAAACCGTTTCCTAAGCCTATTTCTAAGGGCCATTGCAGATGATTAAAAAAACGACCACAATGAACGGAACTGAACAGTTTTTTAAAATTATTAATAGCAATTGTGATAATTATTCTATTTGAGATTAAAGGAGGAATGGAATTTTTGTTCTAGAGTCATAAAAGATCAACCTCATTAGCCTCCTAAATCTGACGAAATAAAAACACGGACTAAAGTAGGACTTCTTATTTAATCAAACAGTTTTTCAAMCTTTTGACCGTCCACAGCGACAGGAATCAAAGCAACTCGCCTCTCCGACAATTTCCTTATCGATTTATCTACAAAACTGATGTGCACTTGTCGACAAATAAGGTCTTAAAAACCAATTCCTTTTATCGATACTTGAAAATTGTCCTTGCTTATACAATGAATGTTAAAAAAAGCAAGAATCTTTGAGAGTTTCATCTCTAGAATTGACAAACGTGTCAAGGTTTCCCGCCATTGATCTTCATTCGGCCAAAAACAAGTGATGACGTCACATAAAAACGATAATATAGTATAAAACGCAATGCATTGTGGGGTACTACTGTTCCCTYCTCTGTACCAATACATTAAAGATTATATTCAAAAGTTTAATGAGGTGTAATGATGCATTAGTACGAATAAGCGACGACTATTCAGGTAGTCTTCTAGGTCTTGAACTGTCGACCTTCTAAGTAGAGCTGYTCAGAGGTCAGTATAAAATCCTCTAGTTAAACATAACAACCGTGTAAAAAATACTTTGATATATTTCGTATTMTGGCCTAGCAAGACTTTGATATTAATTTCATCTCGATTTTGATTTTGATTTAATTTGTCGGTCTTGACGCACGATAAGCTTCTCTTGTCTGTAACGAATGTTAGACAAGTCTTGTAACTACTATGTGACTACATGCATTGCTCATCTATGAATACTGGAAATGTACCGCTGGATCAACTGATAGAAAAACTGGGATTAAATTCAGATTTGATCCTTTCATTGGCTGATTTATTCGTGTTTTTATTGGTCAATATTTGGCTGGAAACCTGTTAGAGAACCCCAGTTAGTTCACAACGTTGTATTGAGCTCCCGTTTCAAATATTCTTCGTTGGTTCTGGTATTCCAGGTGGAAGATGATTTTGGTCATAACCTTTTTATATCAAGATATTTTCAGTACTAAAATTTCAATAGTAACACAGCGACATCTAATATAAGTACATTGATCATRTCTAACCAAATATATGGATGTTTTATGTCTTTAGTATAACCCAATCTGATTCGTTGCTTGTTTTGACCGATCTTTGCTCTTTTTCTTTAATTTTCAGGACGATGTTATTTTATTTTGGACTTGCTGTCATATTCCTAATCGATTCATCCCAAACACAGACATTATATAAAGTAAATGAAGTAGGAGGCTCACAAGTAGACCGTAACCTTTGTGGATCCGATATCCCTACAGCCATTAAAGACATCTGTGGGATTAAAAAAAGGCAAAATATTCCTCGCAAATATGGTAAGACAGAAACAAACAATTCAGTTAAAAAGTGTTAATGATTGATGTTGACGTAATCTTGATCCCAAAAATAAACTCCTACTCCCTTGAACCCCATCAAAAATCATGAGAACTCCCCTTCTCCCAAAAAGTAAATTCCTCTGCTCCCCAGCTAATATCACTTTTAAGGGTGTACTGACATATCCGTTGCGAGGGAAATTCARTAATTCTCTAAAATGACAAACAAAAGTAAAATCGCTTTTGTATTGAGTATTAAGCCTTCCCAAACAAAAAAAAAACACATTCTATGACGTCATTCTATGACGTCATCGCGTGACGTCATTAATACGAAAAAATGCTATACTTTCATCAAGCAAAGTATATTAAACGATTTAAAATGGATGAAATTAATCTTTAGATTTAAGTCCGTAAAGCCAAGCATGCGTTTTTAGAATGATTGCCAAA